TGCAATAGTTTTATTGATGTGCTCAACAGCCTTTGACACACCCTTGCCCAGGTAGCGGGTCTTGTCATTGTCACGCAGCTCTAGGGCCTCGTAGATGCCAGTGGAGGCCCCACTGGGCACAGCAGCTTGGAAGAGACTTTTGGAGGTGTAGAGGTCAACTTCCACAGTGGGGTTCCCATGAGAGTCAAAGATCTCTCGGGCATGCATCTTGAGAATCGACATGTTGGATTTCTGGCTACTGGATCTCGTCACCCAGGAAGGAAAATGAGGGTGCTGCACACACCGAGATGCGCGTTGAAGTGGCCTGTGTAGGAAATTCTTGTTTTGTATCTGTCCCAAGATTTTAGCTTCTCTGTGAAGTAAGACTTGGATGTTAGTTTTGTTGGTCACAGTCCCCAGTTTTTTTTTGAAGTAAAGGTTGTGGTGTGGTTATTAACCCAGGGCTTCCTGATATTGATATACAAAGGGAAGCAAATGATTACAATACATACAACATCCTAGTCACAGTATTACAATAAGCAACAATGATGGCATCAAGCCCAATTTAGAGATTGAAAAACTGTGGTAACTATTGATTTTGTACTTTAGATCATAAGAGCAAAGTCTATATTTATATAACTGAACCAATCATTAATTAGGAGTTTGTATTGCAAACTCTTTCCCCTTGCTAGAGTTGATTTACTCAGAGTTCCTCAGCCAATTGAAATGTCCCGGGATCTTTCTATACTGATAGCCCATCCTACAATGCATGGGAATATGCAAGGCAGCTGGGATTATCTGGACCAAGGCTTGCTCAATGGTGGAGTCAATGTGAAGGGTTTCTACCCTCCCAGGCAGCTCACTACAGTTCCATCAATGGCAGAGAGGAAATGGGCAGAGTTTATACCATCCCATGCAGCTTCCTGAGGCTCCCTTGATAACAGAGCAGCAATGGATCCTATGCTTTTGATCTACTCTTTTTTAATTAATATTATAATATTTTAAATATTATGCATTTAAGCAGAAATAAATTTAAAGCTAACATCTGTATAATCATCACCCAGACTAAAAGTAAGAATATTACCAAACCCAAAAAGACCAATCCAAATCCTATCCTCCTTCAAGATTTAACTGTTTCTCTAATTTAATGGCAATTACTTTCTTGTTCTTTTCTATCATTTGCAAAATTTAAGCATTTTAATACTATAGTTTAATTTTGCCAGTGTTTAACCTTGATTTAAATGGGAACATACTGGAGCCAGGGAGATGGGTCAGTAGAATAAGTGCTTCCCTGGCAAGAATAAGGAAAAAAAAATAAAAGAATAAGGGCCTAAGTTCAATCTTTGGTTAAAAAAAAAAAAAGAACATACTACATTATATGCAGTAATTTTACCATTTTTTCTGTTGTGTTCTAAGATCCACTTATACTATTAACAATATCTTCATCCATATTTAATTATGTGAGCATGTCTGTGTCCATTATAATATTGGTGGAAATTTGCTTTGCTTATTCTGTTGGAGTTTCTAGACAGTGTCTCAATTACTCTTCTATCATTGCTGGGACAAATACCTGAAACTCAAAATGAAGGAAAGAAAGGTTTATTTAACTCACAGTTACTGGAGGTTTTAGTCTATACTCAGCTGACTCCAAGGCAGAGGAGCACATGGAAGAGGGCAGCCTATCACAGCAGTGACAAAGAGCAGAGAGTAAAATGGAGGAGTAGCAATAACAATGGGTACAGAGAGCAAGTCTGTCTCTCTTAAGATCCATTCAGGGTATCTGCCCAAGCCTGGGAGTAGTGATCACACCTGTAATCCCAGCAGCACTCACACCCATAATCCCAGTGGATCATAAGTTGATCACAAACTCTAAAAATCCCATGACTGCATGAGGCTTTTGGAGGAAACTAGACACAAACTATAACAGACAACATTGCCATGAGCATTTTTGAACCTGTCATTCAATGTTGACTCCAAAATTGAGTACTAGGGCTGGGGAGATAGCTCAGCAGAATAAGTGCTTGCCTGGCAAGTACAAGGTCCTAAATTCAATCCCAGGTACCCGAAGAAAAAAAGTGTTTAGGGCTGGGGAGATGGCTCAGTAGAATAAGCGCTTGCCTGGCAAGTGCAAGGGCCTGAGTTCAATCCCCAGTTCTGCCAAAAAAAAAAATAATAATTACTAAATAAAAATTGCAGAAATATAGTTTTGCCTTGTGATCACATGCCAAGAAGATCTATTTATGGGCAAGATTCAAGCCTTCCCCCATTCCATGTGCACTTGGTATAAGGTGACAGGGTGATGTTGATGCAATAACATTAAATGACCTCTAGATGACATAGTGTCTAGTCCACCGTGTGTCCATTCATAAGTGTACCAATTACTTCTTACAATATATTTCCACCAGCTAATTCAGACTCATGCCTTAGTGTGTGTGAAATATCCCATACCACCATGGCTACCTCTCACCCCAATGTTACATAATGTCCCTTGACAGACATTGTCTCTACAGAGCTCAGTAGCATGACAGCCCCTCCATATCCATGAGTTTTTTTCAATGAAGATTCGACAAAGGATATGAAATATTGAGTGAAAATTGTGTCTATCTTAAACATACATAGACTTTTTTCTTGTAATTATTTTCTAAACAATACAGCATAATAATTATTTAACAATATGCATGTTGCATTATATTTATAAGTACAGTAATCTAGACATGATTTAAAGTACATGGGAGGATTTGTGCAGATCATTTGGTTTTTGTTGTCATGTAAAAACCAACTGTAGGGCCAGGGAGATGGCTCAGTAGAAGAAGTGCTTGCCTGGCAAGCACAAGGGCCTGAGTTCAATCCCTGGTTCCACAAAAAACAAACAAACAAACCAATAAATCAACTATTGTATAGCAAGGGAAAACTGTACTATGACCAAGTAATTCATCAAGAATTTTATTTTCCCAAGTTTCTGAAAACTAGAAAGTCCAAGATCAAGTTGAAACAATTTAGAACAGTTTGCTTCTAAGATGGTGCTGCTACATTGTTCAGAGGAGAGGATTTCTTACATGCAAAAGGGCAGGAGTGGAATTAATCCATTGCTGCAAGTCTTTTCTTTAGCAGCATTAAGTGAACTAGGCACCTCCCATTAGGTCCTACTTCCCGGCACTGTTGCACTGGATATTAAATTTTGTGTGTGTGTGTGTGTGTGTGTGTGTGTGTGTGTGTGTGTGTATGCGTGTTTTAATAAAACTTTATTTACAAAAGCATGCAGCATTCCTTAGTTTGCTGAGCCCTGCATTACCTCCCAGAACAAATAAAACCTCACTCACAGGTTTGTTCTGCAGATACCTTAAAATATAACCATATTCACTGGTTTCATCTTGAGCACCTCCAATAGCTGAACTCTTCCTAACAACCTGTCTTTGTGTAGTTTTTGCATGTGAGAGGGTCTTGAAAGGGAGGGTGTCCAAGTGGGGCACACCTGCATGACCACATGACAACAGTGAGACACGCTCACCTCCTTCACTGTGGCCATCACATCTCTAATGACTTTGCAAGACATCACTTCGCTTCTCTGAATCCCTCTTAGAGGTAGGGGTAGGCAAATTAAATTTCAATAGGAGTTTTTGAGAGAACGTATTCAGAACCACAGCACGCAAGCCATGTATGAGTTACTTATTTATTTTGTCATATCTACATTACAGAGACAGGCTATCCTCATTCTTATGCTTAATTTTTATTGATAGAATGAATAAAGACTTGGCTACCAAATTTGACAAAAAGTGTGTCTTAAATAATCTAACATAACCCCCAACAATCTTTCCTCCCCAGATTTACTGAGGTATATTTCACATATAATAAACCCTATATTTTAAAAATATGCTATTTGATATTTCAGAGATACATACTTGTAAGAACCATTACCAAAATCAAGATGAGCATCTCCATCAACTCCATAAATTTCCCCATGTCATTTTGTAATTTTCCCACCTGTTAACTTCCCCCCAGAAATCACTGATCTTCACCTGTCACTATATATAAGTTAGTTTTCATTTTCTATGATTGTATATAAACAGAATCATAAAATATTTATTCTGTTCTCTTACCCTGCACAACTATTTTGAGATTCATCTATGTCATATGTATCATTAATTTATTCCTGTTACTGAATAGTATTTTATTTCATGGCCATATCTCAGGGTTGGTTTGTTTTTTACTCAAATCTTTTATTTATAATTCAACCTTCATCAGTTCATTTGCTCACTTCTCACAGGCTTCCATGAAGTCTTCTCTCCCTGAGAAGGTGGACCAAAACAAATTTCTGAAGTTACAAACCTGAATAGTGTGAAATTCCAGATAGATGAAGTTTCCTTGGAGGCCTACTTATTCTCTTTTAAAACATGTTTTCAAATCACAAAATAGAATTAAGAATTGTAATGGTAGCTATAGACAGCGTATTGCAAGAGGTCTTGATGAACGATGATCAAACTGAACATTCGTTTCTCTTCATTTCAATCTCAACCTCCTTGTCATTTCAGAAATCTTCAGAGACCTGTTTGGCATCAGTGAAAAGAGCCATTGATCTGGGGTATAGACATTTTGATGGGGCCTCCCTCTACAGGAATGAGCATGAGGTAGGGCAGGCCATAAGAGAGAAGATAGAAGAAGGAAAGCTGAAGAGGGAGGATATTTTCTACTGTGGAAAGGTGAGATCTTACTTCCCCTTTATCTTTTTATATTAATGGTATCACTTGTCTTTACTAAACAATGTTGGACTCACTGAGAGGAAGAGGAAGCCTCTCCTTATATTTTCTCAACTGCCAGATTCTGTCTTGCTAAAAACTTAGAAGACTAATTGCCCCCCCTAAAGATTAAAATATGGGCCCATCATATATGGGCATTGATTTCAAACAACTTAATATAGGCAAAGTTTCACAAAGCAGAAAACTTAGTAGCACTGAGAAATGTGAAAGTGATTATACTGAATAAATATTTGCAAGTTTTTTTTAAAGAGAAGCTCACTTTTTCTTTTGTACTTCTCTGCGTTTCATCACTTTTGAATTGAGATATAGCTCAACTAAGGCACCACTTACCATTAAGTCACCATTTAAATTCAAGTTTTACCTAATTCCAAAGCAGTTTTATCATTGTAAAAAAAAAAAAAAAAAAAAGCTCTCATACCCACTAGTGGTCATTTCTCACTTATTTCTCTTGCTCAGTCTCTGAAAACTCACTGCCCCTGTAGTTGTCTTACTTTGGACATTTCCTCTAAATACAATCATTGACACTATGTGGCCTCTTGTATCTAACCTCTTTCACAAAGTCTATTTGCAATCTTTATCTATATGAAATTGGAAATGTGCATAACATATAAATTATCAATTCCTCTCTTTTTTTGAGCTTTTATTTTTTTTCAAAATTTTATTGATAAACAGATAGCAATGAGACAGTTTCAAATCAAATCAGAAGTACAGTTTCAATAATCAATTCCTCTCTTAATACATATTCTAGGCAACTATCTTCTTACATGACTAATATCACTTATAAAGATGTCTATAACTCCACTTATTATAATAGTTGAAACTCAGAAACAATCCGAAGGTTAACCAGTAGAATAGACAATTGGATTTTGCTATATTCAAACACAAACTTGAGGGCCAATGTCATAGTTCGATAGACTAAGTGCCTGCTTAGGCAAGCACAGGGAATGGGGTTCAATCCCCAGTACCGCATACTGCACTGGCCCCACCCTGGGTGCCTTCAGCTGGCCACCCAGACCAGACATGGTGGCACATGCCTGTAATCACAGCACTGGGGAGGCTGAAAAAATGAGGATCACTACATGTCCAAGCTATATAGTGAGACCCTTTATCAAATACATAAAAAAAAACCACAGACTGTAAGTAATAATGAATGAAGTACAGCTAAATGTATCAATGTGGGACAAATTTTGAGAACATAATAGAGAAAAAAGTCAACAATAGGATTCCACTTATAAGTACATCAAAAACGTGTAAATTTAAACATTATTATTTAGCATTACACTTGAATCAAATACTGGAAAACCAAGTAAGGCAAAGGTAAACATATTTCAGGACAGGATATGCTGCACATCAGGTAATTATTTATCAATGAGTTCTTTAGACATGTACGGTTCTATCTCTCAACCTCTGTTCACAGAGAGAATTGTGATACACACATTTTGTCACTTATCTTCCATTTGGCTGTGTGAATGAAATTTCATGGATTCAATATGTCATGAACAGGAAACAGTGGGGAGAAAGTGCTTCAGTACTGAATGGTTGGGTCAGGGAGATGGCTCAGTGGAATAAGCACTTCCCTGGCAAGTGCAAGGGCCTGAATTCAATCCCTGGTTCTGAAAAAAAAAAACAAAAAAAGAAAGAAAGAAAGAAAGAAAGAAAGAAAGAAAGAAAGAAAGAAAGAAAGAAAGAAAGAAAGAAAGAAAGGGAAAAAAACTGAATGGTTACAATCATGTTTTTGTTGCTCTTCCACAAACAACACAGTATAACAATGGTTGCCTGTTGCCTTAATGAGGCTGATTTTCACTACTACTAATCTTGTACCTGGAAGGTGATGTGGTATGATGATTGTTATGACTTGTATCTCCATGTTCCCCAGAGCCTCATGTGTCCACAAGTGGGACATTTTTAGAAGTGATTAGATCTAGAGTATGTGACACTGGGACTAGGAGACTGTGATTACTAAATGAACTCACTAGTTTGGTATTCCCTGTGTCCAGTAGCCTAGCTAGAGTATGCAATGGGCAGAAAGGAGCTTCTAATCTCTCTTGCTTTACTACTTTCTGCACACCACAAACTTTCTCTGCTACAATGCCAATATGGCATTTACTCTGCCTTGGGGCCAGCCCATTATGGACTGAAGACTACAAATTGGAAGTCAAATGAACTCATCTTCCTTTAATATTGGGGTTCAGTTTTTGTATCAGTAATGAGAAAAATATATAAGACAGAATTTGGTGCAGAAATTCCAAGGCATTCTAATGTTGGGGTGATGGCACAGCTACTGTTGGGGGATGTCATCAGATCTTTATTGAGAATCAAGAGCAAAGAGCCTAGCAGAATAATTTCAAATGTTTTGGATTTGTCCAGAAATGAAACTTCAAGACAGTTGCAACTTGAAAAGATGGGACAGAAGAGAAATTTGTCACAGAAAAGACTAAAAAGAAAAAGCCAAGTATTTTAGAAAGAAAGAAAGATGGCCTGAGGACATCACAAGATCCAATAATATAACATCCTTTGAAGCCTCAGAGTTGGAAAGGTGAAAGACTTTGCTCTAGGAAGAGAGCCATAGAGCACCATGTTTCAGAATGGTTACGGCCTAGGAAAGTTGTTCCGCAGGATTGGGTTCACAGGCACTTGACCCCTATAGCAAAGAGAGAAGGAAGCCTGGCTATTGCTCCAGCTGGTGGCAGACTTTGGTATCATCTACATAATACTAGTTTTCAGTGCATGAAAAATGTAAGAGTTATGGGGTCAAGAATGCATCCACTTAGATTTCAGAAGAAAGCATGGGCGACCAGGTAATGTGCCCCTGTGAGGACAGTGTGTGAAACTGTGGGTGTGAAGCTGAAGGTGCATTGGAGACCCAGAAGTTTGAGGTAATGTGAAACTGGGATCATTTAAGGAAAACTGCAAGGTGGGAGTGGTGCCAGCCCAAGAAAGAATTCATGGAAGATTCAACCATTGGATGTGCTGCAGAAGCAGTGTCGCCCAAGCCCTTTGGATTTCTTTCTTTTTTTAAAAAAAATTTTATTTATTTGTGTGTGTGTGTGTGTGTGTGTGTGTGTGTGTGGCCAGCTCAGCCCACCAGGGGTCAGGGCTGGCTGGCATGTGGTGCTGGGGGATTGAACTGCGGTCCCTGTGCTTTGCTAAGCTTATTCTAAGTAGGTGCTTTAGACCACTGAGCCATCTCACCAGCCCCAGCCCTTTGGATTTCATATCTTCCCCCTCAGCTGCCTCAGATGCTGCATATACAACTACAGGACATAATGTTTGCCCTGTTGGATCTAGAATTTGCTTTGTATTTCTCTATTTGTGCTTTTTGGACTGGTAATGCTTATCCTTTACCAATGTATATTGGACATGTTTAACTTTCTTTTCATTTGTACAGGGGGGTCATAGTTAATAGTATGACTTAAATCCCAGAGGACATTTTAAACTTGAACTTTTCAGCAATGCTGAAACTCTTATGATTTTTGAAACTCTTAGAGAGGTACTAAATGCATTTTTCATAAAGGAACTTATAGGGGCTCAGGGGTGGAATATTATAGTTTATGTCTAGATGTCCATGAAAGACTCACATGGTCATAGGTGGGGCTTTATCTAGAGATGTCTGGATCTAAAGTATGTTGTGTTGGGATTAAGGGTGTGTGACTACTATATTATTCCACTGATTGATTTGGTACTGTTCTAATCCTAGTAGCCTAGAGTATAAAAGGGTCAGAAAAAAAGCTGCTAAGGTCCCTTGCTTTCTTTGCTACTTTCTGCTCATTGCAAACTATTTCTCCTATGTGATACCTGTCTACTGCCCATCCTGTGTTGGAGCCAGCTGATTGTAGACTAAACCATCTGTAAACTGAGCCAAATAATCACATCCTCATTCAACTTTGGGTTTGGATTTGTTTATCTCAGTGATGAGAATAATAAGTTAGACAGTGGTGAAGTGCACAGACATCAGTAATAGATAGCGCAGGTCTGCATTTGTTGCTCCACAATCCACAATGTAAAATAAAATATTCAATTAGTTTCCATATGTCCCAGATCATCACAAGTTTGTACCTGTTTCCCTCACTCTCAGTAAAATTAAGATAATATTTCCAGCCATTTATAATATTGTCAGCTCTTTCATTATTAGCTTTTACAATGAACTTAAATGGTAGGTGGAACAAAGCTAATGTCATATGCATTGGTTGAATAAAATTAAATTAACACTTAGATGACACTGCAGCGTGCAAATATTTCTGTGAAATGGAAAGTGTGGTTTACAAAGAGTAAAGGGCTGTACCCATGTAAAAATAGTTTGTAAATTAGTTAATCTCTCTTGTGATTCTTTCAGCTGTGGGCTACGTGTTTCCTCCCAGAGTTGGTCCGCCCCACCCTGGAAAAGACACTCCAGCACCTCAAGATGGATTATGTGGACCTTTACATCATTGAAATGCCCATGGGCCTGAAGGTGAGTTCAGACCTCTAAATCTCAGGACTCTGTCCCTCTGTGACCATCAGATGCCAGCCACCTTGAATGAGATTATTCATCCCTTTGCACCACAGAATGTTATGGCTTTTGTTCCATAAATTAGCATGTACTGACTTTTCCTGACAAGCATCCAAAAGAATTATGTTAGCAGATTTGGGCATAGATTTCAAGTTTCTTAATGAGAGAGAGAGA